ATTTCAGAAATATGACTTCCAGAAGTCTGAAGTTAGTTTATTTCGTGTGATTTTACCATCACAAAACATGAATTTGGTTTTGTTTTGTTTAGAGTGGTGACGGGAAGAGAGCATGAAAACTTCGAATAGAGTTCTTTTTAAATGTTTGCATTATTATCATCTGTGGACTTTGGTTGAATATGTCACTGAAGAAAAATGCCATCCACAGACTCTTATTGTAGAAATGGGGTGGGAATGCTAATGAAATCCTTAATACACCTAGGGGTGTCTCCTAATTTTTTGTGATTGCCATCAATATTTATTTTTATTAATATGATCCTGCTACATGCAGTGTGATTGGCTAGGTGTTGTTTCTTAAGTATCAATTGGTGAACCCATTCAGGGAAGGTATAAATAATTTTATATGAAAATTGTAATGATTCTTGTGTATAGTTAAAAATAGATATTGATGAGGAAATAGAAACTTCAGAAATGCTTCAGTTCAAGGGTTATTTTGCTTTATTAAAGAGGGTAATCTTAGACTTATTTTCTCAGGAAGGAAAATAGTCTGAATGTTTAAGACTAGTTGGGAAGGATGGATATTAGTCAAGGTGGGTAGTTAATAAATAACAAATAATATGTTCCATAACCTTTGGGAATAAATGCCAATATAAGATTCATCTGGTATGTGTAAAATGTAATCAGTCATTGACATCTTGTTCTAAAATGCAAGATGTAGTATCTAATGTAGGCTTTTGTCTTCCTCCACCTTTGGGAACTGTGCCAGCATCTGCCTCTCTGCCAAGATTGCTTTGCAAACTACTGAGATGATCACTTAATATTTACTTCTGTGGAAATAAGTGCATGTATTATGATTTATATTTTAGGATTGGATTCACTGAATTGGAAGTCTGATTCATTATGAAGCACTCCTTGGTGGTTGTAGCAAACTTTCTTAGTCTGAATTCTAAGTGAAATAATACTAATTGTGCTGAACTATAGATTGAGATAAAATGACCTTAAATTTAGACAAGGGTGATGAGAGGGAAGCTGTGGTTTAACACCATAAGGATTTATATCTTTTTATGCACTGTAGAGCCTGTTTTTCCAGATAACAAAAATTAACAAAAGTTAATAGCCTTTAACAGTTCACTCTGATTTGGCTCAGAGTAGGGTTTTTTGGAGGGATGGGGAGAGAGAACAAGGGGGAATTATGTTGCATTATTTTATTAACCCCAGATTTAAAACCCGAGATTTGGCATTCCTTAGCAATAATATATTTGGTGTATTTTATATATATTTCATAATATGGTATTCATTGAAACAGCATGTTATGTAGATATCTTGTATTTTATTTACAGTTCTGGAAACTCCAATTTAAATTTTTCTAGGGTGAAGTAGTTCTAGTGTTACATATAATATTGCTTGTAGTTTTTAAAAAATTGGAATACATTTTCCATGAAGTCATTATTTTACAAGTTTACTTGAAGTTTTTGCTTAGTGGAACAGTAGACTGAGAAATAAACTAATGAAAATCTTCACTGTGTGGTAGTAATTAATCAGTCTTCAGTGATGGAGATTAAAACTTGTTTACTTTCAGGATAGTTCAGTAGGAAATAAGAAGTAGGAGATAATCAGGTTTTTTGTCTAGGACTGACAGTTACTCTCAGAAATTTTGCACCAGAATCTGGTAGAGCTGCATAAATAATATGCTGAGGTACAAGGAAGGGAGAGTAAGTGGCAGGTTCAAAAAAGCTTATTCGGTTAGTATTTTGGAGCTTTGTGGAGTATTTTTCATAATAATGAAATTGGATTAAAGACTGAAAAGAGTTAAAAAGGTTGTGTTGCTAAGGAGCTTTTTACTTTATTTCCTGATCAGGATCCCCAGTATGAATTAGGTTGATGAAATGGGAGGATCCTTTGGGAACTGATGTAGGACATTGTAGAAATTAGAAACTTTTAGAAAAACCAATTTAAAAACCTGCCTCTTTTCATCAATTTGAAAAAAAAAAAGCTGGGGAAAGGAACTATCTGCTAGGCTTTACAAAACATTTCTACTTCTTGGATACAAAGTGTCCTTGGAAGGATTTATACATGAGACTATTAGCCACATTTTAAGTGTTACTTTTAGAGATTTAAGTTTCATTTGAATTATTATTTTATATTTTGAGTTATTTCGAAGTAGGTTTTTGTGGTATGTCTTCAAAGTGGAAAGTTAATGGTGAGAAACTGAGAGGGAAGTTAAAGCTGAATAGAAGGATTCAGTAACCTATTTCCTTATCATAGTGGACCTTTAGTAATGTATGCAATTGTTGAATCATTATGTTGTACATTTGAAAACAATATACTGTTATATCAACTATTTTTCAATAAAAATAGAAAAAAGTAATACCTGTTTCCTAAATTTGAGTTCTCTAAATTTTTAGTAACACATTTGAAAACTTGGTGTTTGGGACAGTAGTGATCACCAAAGCTACAGGCTCTACTAAATTACTTAGTTAATACTAATGAAAAATGTTTTAGCTTCCATCAGACTAACCAAATCGATTCATTTTGAAGAAATAACTTGTATTTTTATTGGCTTCCTAAGCAAATCTAAGAGACCTCTGACCCCCTAATGTGACAGTATTAGTATTACTTTGGTTTTCATATATTACAGGCATTGTTAACATTTCATGGATTTGTTTTGTAGGATCAAATTTTGTAAGTTTTAATGGACTTAAAAGGACGGACACTTGTGAAAAAAATTTTTAAAATATATAGCTCTATATATAGTATCTGTTTCAAGGTTAGAATTATGTACCAGAAGAGATGGCAATTATTAATCCATTAAAAAAATATTTAGGGAAATTGAACAGGGGTGGAGTAATTAGAATTTATGGAGATTAATTTTTAGAAAAGAGTGACTTAACTGTGAGATGGAAAAAGTGGGAGAAAGGTGAAAGATTTTTAGGGTTATGAAGCATATGGTCATTCCACAAATACATGTTAAGTGCCTACTATGTAGTAGGAACTGTATAGAGATACAAAAAGGATATACCTCAACACAGATATAACTCAGTTCCCTTAAGGAACATACCATCTAGTAGTGGGAGCCATTATTAAAACAGTCAAAATTAAGTTGCCCTCTAATCCTGTGTTCTAAGTTTATAAAAATGATAAAAAAATTAATGAAACATAGGTTTTTGCAAATTTTGTAGTCTTCTTTACCCATCCTCATTGTAGGTAATGGATTTGTGGCATGTCTTTGGAGCTGATGTGTTTGATTTGGCTTTGCTTAATCTTGTGTTTTTGTAGAATCTTACATTAGTGTGCAGAAGTACCCACAGAGACACATGTCTCTTATGGTAGAAATTCTGAAACACTTGCTATCTAAAAATTGTTTTACATAGGCTGAATGTGGTAGAAATCAAGTTTTTTCTCCATGGAAAATGATCATATTCTTTGTGCTGTATTAAGATCTTGGACATTTGTGGGAAATAAAATGTCGTTTAGTATCACCCAAGTTGTGTGGTAAGACTAAAGTAAAAGGGCTTAACCTGGAAACATAGAAGCCAATCACTGTTAGCAGATGAACAAATTTGAAAAACTTTCTTTTAGTCTCTTCAGAAATATCAGGAAAAATATGGTATGGGAAATACTGATTGTACTCTTAAAAACTAGCTTTGATTGCTTGATAGATGATAGGATACCTCTAATTTTTCTTTATTCTCTATATATAACAAATTTCAGACCATCTGAAGGTAACTCTTCCATTGAGATACAGTTCTATACTTTAGTTGAAACACCCCCAGATTTAGAAGGTTGGTTTTGGCACATGAGTGCGTATGTGTGTGTAAATGTGAGCAAAGAACCAACTATAAATACTACAAGGCAGTTTACTGACAGCATGTAGGAGTTCAGTTAGGTTCAGGACTTTGTCATTTGCTTTCTTGTTAGATCTGAACTGGACTTTATTCTCTGCCATTTACCAAGCAGTAATTCTTGTATTGGATCCCTTGAATGGTTACTTTCAGTAACCATTTAGTTTTTCATCTTTACACATTGCACACAAGTTTTATGTGTCGCTTATCATCGCTGATTATTGTTCAGTGGTTATTTTGGCAGTTACATGAGGAAAAGACTATGATACTCGTTTCAGTTAGGGTGGCCTTATAACTCATCATCTTCTGAAAATAAAAAGGAGTGATATTAATAATTACCTAAGAAAAACAGACACAAACCAGGACTAGCCCATGCAAACCAAGATAATATGATAATCCTAATTAGGATGCTTTTGATTGCAAGTAACAGAAAACAAAAAACGAGTTGTGTGAAATGCTTTGGTTTGTGTATCTGAAGAGCCTAGTGTTTAGGAGTGCTGCAGGTTTGGTTTGGTGAGGACTTTGGCTCTGTTTCTCTATTTTCTTGACTCTTGACTTCTATGGCTGGCTGCCCTTGTGGTTGTTGAATGACTGCCAATAACAATATGGGCTATAATTCTCCATTTATGATCAGCAGGAGAGAGAAGCTTGCTCTTTCCATAAGCAGAGTAAGTCATAAGCCTCATGATTATTAGATACCACTGAACTAATCTCTCTGATGGGGAATGTCATGTGCTGATTGTCTTAGATATGGGCTATGTGAATATCACTGAGGAAAGAAATGTAAAATTACCCCAATTCTCTTAACCTAGTCAGAGTCCATTCAGCAAACTGGTGTAGAATCAGTCTGTCTTGGACAACAAGGCAGGTAAATGAAAGGGACGGAGTGGAATGGCTCTTCAGGAAGCAACCACAGTATTCATTGTAAAGTCCAGTGCCACTAATTGTTTGCATTTTCCCTTAGGTATCTGTTAACTGAGTCTGTGCAAGAGCTTAGCATACTGCAGATGTGTTTTGTTCTAGTGAGAATTTGTAGTATAAAATGACTTAGTATCCTGGCAAGGAAAGAGAAAAAGAAAACTTACTGTCCAATTTTTCTCATTTTTTTCTTTTTTTCTATAAGACTGTAATAATTGTCAATCTTTTTTTTTTTAACAGACTAATAGGGATGCCAAAGGAAAAATATGATCCTCCAGATCCTCGCAGAATTTATACCATCATGTCAGCAGAGGAGGTAGCCAATGGGAAAAAATCTCACTGGGCAGAATTAGAAATCTCGGGTGAGTGAAATCTGAAGCATTTAATCCAGAACTCGTTTCAGTTAGGGTGGCCTTATAACTCATCATCTTCTGAAAATAAAAAGGAGTGATATTAATAATTACCTAAGAAAAACAGACACAAACCAGGACTAGCCCATGCAAACCAAGATAATATGATAATCCTAATTAGGATGCTTTTGATTGCAAGTAACAGAAAACAAAAAACGAGTTGTGTGAAATGCTTTGGTTTGTGTATCTGAAGAGCCTAGTGTTTAGGAGTGCTGCAGGTTTGGTTTGGTGAGGACTTTGGCTCTGTTTCTCTATTTTCTTGACTCTTGACTTCTATGGCTGGCTGCCCTTGTGGTTGTTGAATGACTGCCAATAACAATATGGGCTATAATTCTCCATTTATGATCAGCAGGAGAGAGAAGCTTGCTCTTTCCATAAGCAGAGTAAGTCATAAGCCTCATGATTATTAGATACCACTGAACTAATCTCTCTGATGGGGAATGTCATGTGCTGATTGTCTTAGATATGGGCTATGTGAATATCACTGAGGAAAGAAATGTAAAATTACCCCAATTCTCTTAACCTAGTCAGAGTCCATTCAGCAAACTGGTGTAGAATCAGTCTGTCTTGGACAACAAGGCAGGTAAATGAAAGGGACGGAGTGGAATGGCTCTTCAGGAAGCAACCACAGTATTCATTGTAAAGTCCAGTGCCACTAATTGTTTGCATTTTCCCTTAGGTATCTGTTAACTGAGTCTGTGCAAGAGCTTAGCATACTGCAGATGTGTTTTGTTCTAGTGAGAATTTGTAGTATAAAATGACTTAGTATCCTGGCAAGGAAAGAGAAAAAGAAAACTTACTGTCCAATTTTTCTCATTTTTTTCTTTTTTTCTATAAGACTGTAATAATTGTCAATCTTTTTTTTTTAACAGACTAATAGGGATGCCAAAGGAAAAATATGATCCTCCAGATCCTCGCAGAATTTATACCATCATGTCAGCAGAGGAGGTAGCCAATGGGAAAAAATCTCACTGGGCAGAATTAGAAATCTCGGGTGAGTGAAATCTGAAGCATTTAATCCAGAGTATAGTAACAGTAATGAACAGGAGTGAGTACTGTTATGTTTATTTCTTTGTTGCTAATTTTTACTTATATGAACAAATAAATACAAGATGCTGAGGTATTAGTGTTTAACTTACCTGTTTTATCTGCGACTAAATATTTTTGTTTCTATTCTGTTCTTTGAGATTGATACCTCAAGCCAGAGTTGGCATCTGAAATTGAGGATATTAGGAGTTCAGTTCTAAGGAGGACCAGGTTCTTTGATATAATATATTTTGTTTTAGCTATTTCAGAGTAATTATTTTTGCAAATTGAAATCTTTGCCATCTTCCTGTCATCCCAGTATTTGCAGAGCAGGAAACTTAGAAGCTATTTGTTTATTCTAACTCATAAGTAATAATTGTGTTATATGACCTTTCATATTTAAAATTTGTTAAAATAGAATATGATTCCTTAAAACTCATAACTCCCATCTAATAGTGAAAAAACATCAGACAGACTCAGACTGAAGGATGTTTTGCAAAATACCTAATTAGTAATCCTCAAAATTGTCAAGGTCATGAAAAACAAGGATTGAGGAACTTTCACTGACCAGAGGAGACTAAGGAGACATGATGACTAAATGCATGTATAAATTACTAAATGAATTGAATCTTGGAACAAAAAGGTGTTAATAATTGGTGAAATCCAAATAACGTCTGTAAGTTAGTTAAGAACAATGTACTAATGTTGGTTTCCTAGTTGACAAATGTACCATGGTGTAATATAAGATGCTAATATGAGGGGAGACTGGATAAAGGGTATATAAGAATTATGTATTACCTTGATAACTTTCTGTAAATCTAGAATTATTACAAAGTTAAAAAACTTTTAAAAATAGAATTTAGGTATTGTTTTTTTTCTTTTATGAATTGGTATATAATATAGCTTATATATAGATTTTGCTTTTTACCCAGTAGGTTTTACTTATAAGAGTTAAAATCACATTTATAATGTCAATCAAGAATTACCTGTACATTTACCTAAAAGGTAACTAGACGGATAGTGATTAGTAATCAAAGGAATGAATATGAACATATCCTATTAGCTTAACCTGGGGTTTCTCAACTTGGCACTGCTGACTTAGGGCCAGATGATTCTTTGTGGTTGGGGGCCGTTGTGTGCACTGAAGGATGCTTATCAGCGTTCTGGCCTCTCCCATTAGATGCCAGTAGCCTTCTAGTTTTGACAACCAGAAATGTCTACAGATTGCCAAAGTCCTTTTGGAAGCAAAATCGTCTCTGGTTGAGAACTATTTGGTTAAACACTGAGTAAAACTAAATTAAGTTTCTCTTTTACCAGAATCTTTACTTGAAAAATTTGTTCTCTATTAAAATGCAAAATCATATTTGGCACTTTAAGCCTGATTATAGACAACATGAAAGCTTAATGTGTGACTGTTTCCTTGAATATGTACTTAATGCAAATGCAAAATCTTAAACCAGAGATGTTAATCTATAATTGTAACATCAGAAAGCTGAGGAAGATGTCTCCTTTTGGGGTAAAATGTTTTTTTTGGTGGGTAATCTGATAATCTGGTTCAAAATCACAATTCTTGTCTTTTTAAAGTTTGTATACTAATTCAGGCCCTACATATGGATAAACCTTGCGCTATTAATTTTTACTGAGTGTAAGAAATTCTTCTGTTAGGAATATAACTTCTTAAAAAATTCAGGACTGTTCTATTACAAAAGCCCAATGTAGCCCCATGATTGCTGCTTGAAACCGTATGATCACCCTCACGCCAAGGGTCTTCTCATTATACCACATCTCATTTAATGCATGGAAGGTCCATGAGAAAGAATGGTTTTCAGGCAAAAGTGGCATGAATTAAAGAAGAGCCAGGTGGTTTTGGAAGCAATCAGATGGCACTAAATACAAAATTAAGATGTCAAAGATAACAATATCTGTATTATATTTGCAGACTCTACTACCACTTTGTTTTGAGCCTAGAGTTTAATACTTCAATGTTTTGCCTTTTAGGTAGAGTGCGGAGCTTAAGTACATCACTTTGGTCATTGACACACTTGACGGCGCTGCACCTAAATGACAATTACCTTAGTCGCATTCCACCTGATATTGCCAAGCTTCATAATCTGGTTTACCTGGATTTGTCATCCAATAAACTCAGAAGTTTACCAGCAGAACTAGGAAACATGGTGTCTCTCAGGTGAGGAAATATAGATATGACTCACTGTATAAAATTCTAAACTTACCAAATAAAATTATGGGATGTTACTCATTTTACAGTAGGGTTTCCATATGTATTTGAAGATGAAGTGATACAAACTGTCAAAGCACAATGCTTGAGTTGGCCACCATTGAACATTTCTTTTCCTTCCTTTAAATTTGGAAGTTTCTGTCCAGAAGTATGCTTACATTACCAAATTATTTTGAGAGACTTGAGGGGACTGGGGCTAAAATAAAAATAAAATACTAAGTCTCACTTTAGGCTCAAGTGTACAATAAGACTAACCAGAAATAATGGGGAAAATATGATTTTCTTATAAGTAAAACTTTTAGGAATACATTCCTCTTTTACAAGGCAAGGTATCCTTATAATCCTTAAGGAAACTTTAAAACCTGATAATAAATGGATTTATTTCTAGTCCTTTAGGATTCTTCATAGACCTTGTGTAAATGTTCCCAGTACACGAAAGGATTGCTTTTCTATATTGTTTATCTGTTGATTAGTAATTGTAACAAATTGCTATATGTTTAAAGTTAAAAATTTATAAAAAAGTTTTAGAATCTAGTTCTTCATTATCCCCTTTGTGTTTTTGTTGGTTTTCCTTTTTTTCTATACTGTTTAGTCATCTAATAAGAGAGCTGTTTATTTTTTCTGTTGTTTGCCCAATAATTTCACAATCATAAGGTCATATCTTATCTATGCTATCCTTTGCTTTTTAAAAAAAATTTGTTCTGTATCAGTGAATGTCCATCACAGTACCTTGATGTGTTGTAGTTGTAATCAGTTATAAAAGTTGATACAGGTGATTAACTATTTTTTTTTGTGATTGACTATTATAGTTAAGTCCTGAAGTTTGTAAAAAGTATTTTTTATGTGTATGTGAATTAGATTAGGTTCAAGGATATATGTTGTCTTTGTAAATTAAGGATATCTATTCTTTGTATACCAAGAACTGTAACTCTGATTTGCATCTGATAGACATTTGAGTAAGAAAGAGAGAAAAGGAGGTGGATATAGCCTGAGTGATGTGCAGTCCCTACACCTTTAATAATCTTATAGAGAATAAGTAAACCATAGAAACACTGTTAACAGTGGTGGCAATTACACATTTTGTAGTACTTAAACAGCATATTTGGATGAGTGTATAGAAATGTACCTTGAATGTAAATATCACTCATGGTATGCTGGAGAGAAGGATAAGAAAGCATTTGTACATATTAATATACTGTGATATAGTAAACTAAAACAAACATTTTTTTTAACAGGGAATTGCTTTTAAATAACAATCTGTTACGGGTTTTGCCTTATGAACTTGGTCGGCTCTTCCAGCTACAAACTCTAGGTTTGAAAGGTGAGTGATTAAAAAAAAAGAGAGAGAGACCATTAACACTCAGTTTTGAGGTGTTCTGAGCCTTTTATAGACCATTTTGGTTACAGTATAGTCAGATTTTAGTATAATTGTGACTCTAGTGATTCTTAGGCATGAAATTGAACCTCATTTGATAGGATTTCAAAATGCTGCCATCATTTTAACAAACTTGTATGGGGAAAACTTTGTTTTGTTTTATATTTTACCTTTTATTTTCTGTGAAACTGAAATTTCTTAGAGGAGGTGTTTTAAATAAGCACTGTAGTTTTTTTCCCATCATTCTTTTTTATTTTTATTTTTTAAAAAGAATTAACTTACTAGAGTAAACTATAACCAGAATGTTCTATGTCAGGTTTTGATAGAGAAGATAAAATAACATTGATACATGATTTTAAGAGGGAAAAAAAAAACATTATAACAGTAAAAATGAACTATACCTAATAAGTATAATTATTCTAAATAAAATATATTAATTCAAAATGCATACTTCTCTGACAAGCTCATCTCAGTCAATTTGGGATGAACATCATGTTCAAGTTATATAAATATTGAAATTTATGTGATTTTCTCTTATAGCATAGAAAGGGGTTTATTTTTAATTCAGAGGACTAGATATAGATGTATTGGTTAAATATTTAATTCTGTGAGGAATAAACACTTATCAAAGCCTTATAAAGTATATACTTTCATGTATTTTATTTTCCTTCTTCAAAAACTGTTTGAATCTCCGTGAACATGTTATGTTTGCATTTGTTTATGTCAGGTAATGGAGCAATAAGAATGGAAAGAATGCTGGCTTTATTGGATGAAATGGTAGAAAAGGTTTTAGTCTTCTGTATACAGTTAACTCTGTAAATTATATAATTATTTGATATTTATGTGAATATAATAGATATTTATATGGATAATTATATGAATGGTCTAAGTCTTGTGTTTTTAGTTTCTCTGTAGGATTTTATGATTTTTTAAAATCATGTATGAGGGAAACAGGTGATACTTATAGCTAAACTATTACTTGAGGATTAACCCAAGGCATATCAAATTTAAATGTTGGGACACCTCACCTTATTCTCTATGAACTCAGTCTTATAAATGTAATTGAAACAGCCATCCAGGTAGAGTTGGAGTGGGGGGCAGATCTGTTCCTTTCTATTAAATTGTATTATGGAGTGATTGTCATTTGTTACAATTATAGATTGATGAAATATGAAATTGTCACTTTCATACTGATTATATAAATTGTATATATTTTTGTCTCAACATTTAGTATTTCTTTTAACATCAATCAGAATAGTTCTTTTTCTAAATTGATGGAGAGTACATCAATGACAAATGAGTAATTTACTACTGAACCCAGTGACTTACCTTTCATACCATGTAACATTCCTGTAAAAGAAAAATTATGTATCTTACTGCTTCATAACTCTATTGCATGGTATCACATACAGAGCCATATTCCCAGGAAATTTATAAGTATCAGCTGAATGAATCATTCTGAATATCTACTATCTCCTTAGTCCTTCATTCTCTTTTACTAGTTAAAATATTAGTCTTCCAAACAACTGTCTTTGTCTGCCTTCAATCCTAGGGTCCTTTTGTCTACTGGTTTACATTTGTTAAAATCTCTTCCTAGATCTCTAGTCCTTCAGATTAGGCACCAGCTCTGCCTTGCCAGCTATAATGTAGCTTTGCTCCTGCTTATGGATAAATTCCTTTTCATTAAACTTCAGTTTGTTCTATGGTAAATACCCATATGCAGCCCTTTTTTCTCTTTGAGAATCTTTTTGTCTGGCATTGCTACTTATGTTAAGATGATCCAGTACAGAAGAGCAAGTACCCTTTAGCAATGAAAGAAACCCAGAGGCCTTTCTGCCTTCTTTAAAAAGCTTAAGATGGAGGGGATCACGGGAAGATGGTGGCGTGAGTAGTTCAGAGGAAATCTCCTCCGCAAAACATATGTATTTATGAAAATACAATAAATACAACTATTCCTAAAAGAGACACCAGTGGATACAGTACAACAGCCATGATACATCTACATCTGCGAGAATTCAGCATCACATGAAGGGGGTAAGATACAAGCCACTACCAGGCGGGACCTGAACACTCCCCCACCCCAAAACCCGGCGGGAAGAAAGGAGTCATAACAGGAAGAGAGTGAAAGCCCAGGACTGCTAAACAACCAGCTCTAGAAATCTGCACCCGGAACACAGACACAAGGTGCACGGGGTGCTGGATATTAGAGAAATGGAAAAGTAAAACCTGTGGGCAGTTCCCCGCAACCGGCGCCCCTGAGACAAAAGAGAAGGAAGTGCTTTCTGCAACTCTTAAAGAGACAGGGACCCCATAGCTGGACAAAGTTGTCCTGGCAGCTGGGAGTACTGGGGAAACTTAGGCGCCCTAAACGGAGGCAGTGCAGCTCTGAAGCCCCTCACAGGACTAGGAAGCCTGCCAGTCATTCCTCCAACTGATGCGGATCCCAACACATGGGCCCAGTAGCAGGAGAGTGGGAGTGCGCGCCAGGGGCGGAAGTGCTAGAAGGAACCAAGAGCAGATCTGTGCACCTCAGGGCTAGAGCGCAGCGGCGCAACTAAACAGCCCGGGCACGGCTTGCGCGCACCGGCGGCAGTGAAGCCAGGGCCCGGTAGAAGCCTGCGCAGAAAAGCCCCACGTGCACCAGCAGCGGAGACAGAGGGAGCAGGCGCACTCCCAGGAGCCAACCGGAATCCCAGCCCAACGCACAGCTGCCCAATGGGGAAAACTTTGTTTTGTTTTATATTTTACCTTTTATTTTCTGTGAAACTGAAATTTCTTAGAGGAGGTGTTTTAAATAAGCACTGTAGTTTTTTTCCCATCATTCTTTTTTATTTTTATTTTTTAAAAAGAATTAACTTACTAGAGTAAACTATAACCAGAATGTTCTATGTCAGGTTTTGATAGAGAAGATAAAATAACATTGATACATGATTTTAAGAGGGAAAAAAAAACATTATAACAGTAAAAATGAACTATACCTAATAAGTATAATTATTCTAAATAAAATATATTAATTCAAAATGCATACTTCTCTGACAAGCTCATCTCAGTCAATTTGGGATGAACATCATGTTCAAGTTATATAAATATTGAAATTTATGTGATTTTCTCTTATAGCATAGAAAGGGGTTTATTTTTAATTCAGAGGACTAGATATAGATGTATTGGTTAAATATTTAATTCTGTGAGGAATAAACACTTATCAAAGCCTTATAAAGTATATACTTTCATGTATTTTATTTTCCTTCTTCAAAAACTGTTTGAATCTCTGTGAACATGTTATGTTTGCATTTGTTTATGTCAGGTAATGGAGCAATAAGAATGGAAAGAATGCTGGCTTTATTGGATGAAATGGTAGAAAAGGTTTTAGTCTTCTGTATACAGTTAACTCTGTAAATTATATAATTATTTGATATTTATGTGAATATAATAGATATTTATATGGATAATTATATGAATGGTCTAAGTCTTGTGTTTTTAGTTTCTCTGTAGGATTTTATGATTTTTTAAAATCATGTATGAGGGAAACAGGTGATACTTATAGCTAAACTATTACTTGAGGATTAACCCAAGGCATATCAAATTTAAATGTTGGGACACCTCACCTTATTCTCTATGAACTCAGTCTTATAAATGTAATTGAAACAGCCATCCAGGTAGAGTTGGAGTGGGGGGCAGATCTGTTCCTTTCTATTAAATTGTATTATGGAGTGATTGTCATTTGTTACAATTATAGATTGATGAAATATGAAATTGTCACTTTCATACTGATTATATAAATTGTATATATTTTTGTCTCAACATTTAGTATTTCTTTTAACATCAATCAGAATAGTTCTTTTTCTAAATTGATGGAGAGTACATCAATGACAAATGAGTAATTTACTACTGAACCCAGTGACTTACCTTTCATACCATGTAACATTCCTGTAAAAGAAAAATTATGTATCTTACTGCTTCATAACTCTATTGCATGGTATCACATACAGAGCCATATTCCCAGGAAATTTATAAGTATCAGCTGAATGAATCATTCTGAATATCTACTATCTCCTTAGTCCTTCATTCTCTTTTACTAGTTAAAATATTAGTCTTCCAAACAACTGTCTTTGTCTGCCTTCAATCCTAGGGTCCTTTTGTCTACTGGTTTACATTTGTTAAAATCTCTTCCTAGATCTCTAGTCCTTCAGATTAGGCACCAGCTCTGCCTTGCCAGCTATAATGTAGCTTTGCTCCTGCTTATGGATAAATTCCTTTTCATTAAACTTCAGTTTGTTCTATGGTAAATACCCATATGCAGCCCTTTTTTCTCTTTGAGAATCTTTTTGTCTGGCATTGCTACTTATGTTAAGATGATCCAGTACAGAAGAGCAAGTACCCTTTAGCAATGAAAGAAACCCAGAGGCCTTTCTGCCTTCTTTAAAAAGCTTAAGATGGAGGGGATCACGGGAAGATGGTGGCGTGAGTAGTTCAGAGGAAATCTCCTCCGCAAAACATATGTATTTATGAAAATACAATAAATACTTCTTCCTAAAAGAGACACCAGTGGATACAGTACAACAGCCAGGATACATCTACATCTGCGAGAATTCAGCATCACATGAAGGGGGTAAGATACAAGCCACTACCAGGCAGGACCTGAACACTCCCCCACCCCAAAACCCGGCGGGAAGAAAGGAGTCATAACAGGAAGAGAGTGAAAGCCCAGGACTGCTAAACAACCAGCTCTAGAAATCTGCACCCGGAACACAGACACAAGGTGCACGGGGTGCTGGATATTAGAGAAATGGAAAAGTAAAACCTGTGGGCAGTTCCCCGCAACCGGCGCCCCTGAGACAAAAGAGAAGGAAGTGCTTTCTGCAACTCTTAAAGAGACAGGGACCCCATAGCTGGACAAAGTTGTCCTGGCAGCTGGGAGTACTGGGGAAACTTAGGCGCCCTAAACG